TTTCTTATAAACTTTGGCAAAAAATTCAGAACTGACAATTCCTTGTGGTCTAATTTATGAAAAAAAAAATATTGCAAAAATAATCACCCTATCCACTGTACTTTCAAGAAAGATCAATATTGTGGATGGAACATATTATGTAAGATTAAATGGCAAGGATAAATGACTCTTTAATGAGGGATTAGAAATGGGCCCTTTTATTTTAGCCAGGATGATTGGATTGGTATTGGGTCTCTTAAATCTTATTTTAATACTCATTCTATCTCTAACATGAAGGTCTCTAACTTCATTAAGGATGGAAGGTGGTATGAAAATCTTCTTTTAAACCAAGTTTCTTAAAAGGTTACTGACATTATTTGTGATATTTGGATAAAACATCATCTTAATGATCAACCTATTTCAAATTCTATATGAATGGTGAATTGCTTCAGAACTAAACTTAATTTTAATAATACTTTTGATAAATTTTGTAATTCTTCCAATCCTATTAATATTTATTATTCACATGAAGAATTCTTAAAGGTTTTGATCATGTTGATAATAGATTAAAAGACAAGGGTATTTTTATTGCTTCTAAATATTAATGTTATTTTATCATGAAATTATAAAACATGTATTTTTAAATGGTCTTATTAATTATAGAGTTTGGTCTATTTTAGATAATTCTTCTTATTTGAGGATTAAGACTAGTAATAATAATTGCTTATCTTTGTTAGTTGTGTTGCAACCCAGGCTTTCGAGTTTATCATTTTGATGATAATAAATACTATTGATTACATCTTTATTTTTTCTAGTATTTGTAATGTATATTTATTTGTGTGTTGATTAATATTTCAGGTACACCATGTAACATTCACTGAAGATTGGGTAGAATAGATTATATTGAATGAGTATGTAATTTTTATTTATTTGTTTTTTAATTTCTTGACTCAAGTCCTATAATGATGTATGTTATCTTGGTGATCGTGCACACACACATGGGTAACAAAAATAATTTTAAATATTTTAATTTTTCAGTACATCACACTATATGATATGGATCATACTATACGATCTGGTATTATAGAAATTAATTAAAATATTTTATTTTCTTGGGAAAATATTTTTGAAATATAATTAATTGTATAGTATGAACGCCGCATCGTACTGAATAATCTATTATAATTAGAAAGCCCACTGTCCATTAAATTAGGAAAAATTTTAAAATTGAAAAATTATTCTAATCATATTGTATGATGTTTAAAATATTACTTAATTTAATCATATGATTAGTCAATCAAACCAGCTTAATTTTGATATTTTGATCAAACTGTTTGAACTAGTTCATATTGGTACTATCAATAGAGTCGATTTTGGTCGTCTCATGTTTCATCATAGACGAACTACATTTCGATTGAATTGTTCGTACAGTACTAATTGGTGATCATACAATACGATCTTTGATGATTTAATTAATTGTTTAGGATTTTTGAAGCCCTCTATTTAAGCTTTCTCGTAAGACTTTATAAGAGTTTTGGCAGCCATTGTGTCTTCGTCCTTCTGGAAAAAACTTTAAGAGAGAACATGAAAGGGAGAGAGGAAATTGTGGAGTTTGAGAGGGAAAAGATCCTTGGAGGGGGTTTCAAGGGAGTGTGGAGAAGATTTCACATGGTTGCTCCGACAAGCTTGCACCTTAGTACCATAGGATTTAAGATTCATCTTAAGGGAAGTTTTGGGAAGAAGAAGATCTCTTTGTTGTCAAAGGACTCGACTCCTCCACCGCACTGGAGAAGGTGGAAGTGATTTAGTAAGTGCTTTTCCACATAGCTGTGGGGGATAAAGGAGAGTCACTAAAGGTTTAGTATAATACTTGGAGGGTACCTCCGGGGAATGGACGTAGGTCAAGGTTTGTCCAAACTACTATAAATTTGGTGTGTTCTTCTCTTTTTTATTTCCACACTTTATGTACACTTTTTTTTTTGCGATTACCTATGTGGGTTAAATTGATAATTAATCTTTTTATTGTGAATGTAATTTGCTTCCGCATTAAATTATAAAAAGATTTTTCATTTCGTTAAAGAAGTTATTAAATATCCAATTCACTCCCCTCTTAGCGCATTTCTTACTTTCAAGCTGTTTATATTGCTAATAGACTTAAATGTCATATTCTTATTGTCATTCTTATGGTTTTTTTTTTTTTTTTTGCTTTTATATATGAGAGAATAACAAACACAAAGATATAAAAAAGAACTATGATAGAGTTATTATTTTTCATAAGAACAAAATTCATCAATTATATATTGCAAAGTTGTTGCATTAGAAATGCTTTAGAGGTAATGTTTCTTGGTCCTCTTTCTTTCATATTGGATTTGAAAATGAAGTTATGAAACCTACCTCTAAGATTTTTTGGTTGGATTAAACCTACTCTTGATGGAGCTGGTTGTGGTGGTTTAATTAGAGATTATGAAGGAGCATTTTTATATGGCTATGCTTCAAATTTATCCAAATGCAATGTTATTTTTGTAGAATTGAGTGCATTTCATATGGCTCTTAAATTATGTATTTCCAAAAATATCTTTGATATATGGACTAAAACTGATTCTAAAGTGCTAGTGTCCTTGATGTAATCTAAAACATGACACAATGCCATTCTTTTTACCTTTTTAATAACAAATTGACTACTATTGATCATTTTGATTACAAAAGTTTCCATGCCTGGAGGGAAGGTAATGTATGAGTATTTTCTACTAAATTATTTAGTAAAGACTCATATTTCAGAGTATTGAATGGTATGCTCAGACTTGATGCTTTGACTTTTCCCTATATTAGAAGAAAGTAATTAGAGGTCATTGAGGTTTCCTTTTGCTGCTTCTATATAGCTTGTATAGGGGTTTGATCACTATTCCTTTGAATCCATCACTCCAACTTTTTCTAATGTTATTTTTGATTCACTGTGAGCATTGTTTGATTATGTTTATGGCCAAGATTTCCTTTGAATTGTTGGCTTCATGTGAGCAGATATCTCAAACGTTGATACTTTTGTGTTTTTTGGAATGTTGTTTCTCAATTTTAGCTTCCTTTATTTATCTTGTTGTGCTTGGCTACATTTTTGTTATTTATGTTGGACTCTATCCCGAGTTGGGTAGTTTCTTCTTTCTTCTTGTTGTTTGCGTCGATTTGTTAGTTGTGGAAGGTGATTTTCTTTCATATATTTCTTTTTGCTTTTGTGATTGGCTAGGCTTGTGTTTCTTATATGGCATTATACCCGAGCTAGGTATTTTAATTTTCTTGCTGGGTATTTCAATTTTCTTGTTGTTTGCATCATTTTTGTCTTTTTGGATGATGATTTATTCCTTTTCTTTTACTTTGTTGGTTTTGGTTGACTGTCTTGTGTTTTCTTCACTTTTTTTATTGTTCATTTAATTCCTTTGTTTCTCTTTGTTATGGTTGGCTAGGTTTGTGTTATTTATGCTGGATTATACGTTATGTTTTCCTACTGCTCTTAGCATCCATTTGCCTGATCATACTATGTCATTTTTTTTGGATTTTGAATTCTTCTCTTATGTTTCTCTTTGCAAGCTATGGTTGGATGGGCTTGTATTACTTATGTTACTTTATACCCGAGTTGGGTATTTTTGTTTTCCTGTTGCTATTTTCTACCTTTTACCTAACAAATTTGGAGTTTATTATTGTTCTTTCTTATAATTTATGGGCTATATAAATTAACCTTTTCTTTAGTGGTTTCTAATGATACAACAATGATTGATTCAAGGGCGGAATCAGCCTTAATTTTCAGGGGGGGGGTGGCAAACTTATAAATAACTATCTAGGGTGCAAGGGGGCAGCGTCCCCTGGCATGGTTCGACCTGCCCGGTTAGGTCGCGGGGTCAAGGAGCAGCTCCCCTGCGGGGGTTTCCGGGGCAGCGCCCCCGGAACAATTTTTGGTTGTAAGGATATTTTTGGAATTTAAATTTAAATATAAAATAATGACTGCTTTTTACTATTTGTTTGGGGCAATTGCCTAAATATCATAGTATTTTTAAAATTTTA